TATTTTAGACGTGCGTATGCCCCGAGGTCCTCCTTAACTCAAACCACCCGTCTCTGCGCAGCCCTACAGCACTGTCTTTTAGATGTGATTTAAGTAATTTCAGTATATTTTAGACCTTAGGCTCATCGAGACTCACATATATATATACAGATAAATACTCTCTGTAAATGATAAAGCATAACGAATATTTAAATATATATATCTTTTCTTAAAAACCAAAAAAAAAAAACATACTCGAAATGCTGACACACACACTCGCGCACTTCTCTCCCATGAGATACACCCACACACACACATGCAGAGAAATCTAAATAATGCACGGCACTTTGCTAACTGCAGCTTTTAGCTAAGCAAACATGGATAAAAGTAGAGAGTAGAGAAAGAACGAGCAAACAGCAGGTGTGCAAACTGCGATAGTTCAACTCCGTTGGATATTCGATGCAGCATTGCCTTAGCCACCATGCCTGTATGGGTGTGCGAGAGTGTGCCTGTGTGCACAAGGTGCAGCTTAACTAATCCTTTCACTTAGCAATCAAAACATATCCTCGTCGGGAGTGGAGCTTCTCAATTTCTTTTTCATTGCAGTCAATATTTGCACTCTCCCCGAGCAGCTGCAGTAGTTTCACATTCTTTGGGACTCTCGAATTGCGCTTCGCTGTAAATGTCGCATTGCAGAGGTGGAGGAGAGAGAGAGAGAGAGTGTGTGTGAAGAAGAGAGAATACGGTCGAGAAATGTGATTTAAAACGAAGTGTCTAGTGTCGATATCGTTTTGTTTATGCATATACTTTGGTGCGTTCGAGTCAATAGATTTTCGCATTTTTCAGCATTTTGCTTTGTTCAGTGCCATCGTCGGTAAAGTCAAATAAAAGCTATCTAGCATTACAGTGGATATTTTGTGAAGGGTAAATATTAAATTGCGCTGGTTCATGTTTCGTGTAGACCTTTAAAACTCTAAGAAAACCCTGATGCTCTTTTTAGATATCACTGGTTTTTAGAATATCGAGGCAATTTTTGAGTAAATTGTTAAGATGGATCATTACAATTTTTCTGGCTAGCGCTGAGGTCACTAATTGTGTGCTCAAAGGTAGTCAAAAAGTGTCTGTTCTAAACTACACATATCATTAAGTTAATTCATCTTCACACTTGTTTAAGTGCTTGGTCATAGTGGAATTGCTGGTAACTGTAAATCCGATGAGCTAGCCATCCGAAGAGCTAGGTAAAGGTTGCTCCCCTCACATCGGAATCTGACCGAGTTGGATCTCCATTGGCATCTTACGTTCTGGCACGGTGCCAGTAAACATGGCGTGCGTAGAATAGGCTTTAGTCGACGAACTTCACTTGTGCGAATGCAATATTAGGATATATATAGATATCAGGATATCTGCTGAACTACTTGCCTTAGGCAGAGTATATTGCCCTAATTGTCCATACAGGCGTTCATGCGGTAAAGTTAAAAATCCAGTTATCAAAGTTGTATGAATAAAGTGAAGTAGAAGCAACCAGACTTATTCTCCACCATTGCCCAGTCTTAGCTAGACCTAGGCGAAACGTCTCGGAAATCCTACCTCCTGCGGGCCAAGACTCTGAAATTTTCATTCGCCATCTCAAGAGGTTGGTGATAGACTTAAAGCGGTTTGTCGACCTGTGAGGGTCTTATGATCTACTATATAGAAGTTTTAGCCCCCCCCTCCCCCCCCCCACGAGTCCGGGGTTCTAAGCTGTCCAGGTGTGATCTATTTTCGGATCAACCTCTTAACCCAATCTAACTGAACTTGATATCTCATTTTTACACGTATTACTCAACAGATAAAACATATCAAAGAGGGCAGAGTGGTAACGAAGCGCTCAAATATCGATAGTTCAGGATGTATTTTAAAACTCATGGAATAAAAGCTTAGAAGCTAATATTGTTGAGGCAGTCCTGTAAGCGGACCTTGAGGTACATATATGCGATCTAGCGATGAACAATTTCATTTCTCTTATTAATAGAATTTACTTAGTTCGAAATTCTAGAAACTATTCACACTCACAATATCAAAAATAGCATTTGTCATACTCAGCATAGTGCAACTTATGGAATATTGATTGACGTGCCAAGACGCACAACCAAAAATGGAACTCGAGTAACTTTTTTATGCAACGAAAGCTGCTATATGCGCCTTATTTGTTCCGCGTGCACATTTTGCAAACCAAGTCTTCGATCAAAAGTAGAGCTACCATGCCATTGCGTTATCAGCTGTGAATAGTTTCCTCCAAGACATTGTTTTTATATCCTTCCGCTTTTATTTTTTTACCTATCAGTCTTACTGTATATATGTATGTATATACATTCCATTTTCGCTTTTCCTGCTTGTTCGACTTTTTCTTAGCACTGTTGCTCAGACATTCCATATTGCAGAGAGTATAACGCCTTGCACAAGCAATGCATACTTTTAGGAGCAGTGACACATGTGTGGAAATGCACGGCCCAACATCATAATACGTGTCTTTTCACAGTAAACTGAACGACGTTTGGGAGTGGTATGAATGAGGCAGAGACTGCAACAAAATACAATATAAATTTCTTCAAGAGACGAAGCGACGAAAAATAAATACAAACTAAGATACAACAACAGCAAAAATATCAACAATGGCGTTTGAAGATGATAAATCATTGTTGCTTGAAGCGAACGAATGCGGCGGAAGAACGGCGAAGAAACGGTAAATAGTAGCGGTATAGCGCACACATACACACACACACACACACAGGAGTGTGGCAAGCCAAATGCGTTTTCGTGTGAAGCACAGACGAGTGCAAAGAACGAGCAAAGCCAACGGAAGCAAAATAAAAAGCAAACAACAGCGAAAAACTTGGCAGATGCACACAACTCAAGACCACAACAAAGTTGCAGTTGTAAGCAACTATACAAAAGTAGCAACAAAAATACGAAATAATAAAAATCACGCAATCTCCAGTCGGGCTGTCTTGTCTGCTTGCGTTTTCTACACGAATGGCTAGCATACTTTCCGGCGTATTCATCACGCAGTTCAAGTGTGTGAGCCTCAACACACACACATACAAGTCTCTGCAAGTGTGCGTGTTTGCTCTCTGCATGCCTTCGTGCTGATAAGGCATACTTGCGCCCTCCGCTTACTGCTTGGAGTGGAGCAACTGCCAGAATGTGTGCAATACAACAAGAAAATGAATGTGTTTATATAAAGTAGATATGTACGATGTATGGCAATAAAGATTTATGTTAGCGGGCAATAAGGAAGACGTACGACCACAACAAGTTCATGAAATTTATGCTTGCACGCATTTTAACGCTTTATTGAAGCGTAAAAAGTGAACTTAAAGCATGTTGCATACTTCTAGGCGCGCGCGCTGGTGATACTCTGTGACGAAAATAAGGAATCAATCAACTGTAATTAAATCGTTAGACCTAAAAGAATAATTTCGTTTTTATTAGAAATATTTTTATTTTACAACTCAACTAAAAAGTCGAAAAAAATGTAAGAAGGTGGAGCAGGGTAAAATGATTAGATATTCATGCAAGGTTTGACACCTTATGGACCTGTTGACCTGTGTACTCAGAGAGGAAGTTGTAGAACCTTTCCTTGCTCGCTTCGAATTTGCAGCTGTGGAAAGTACTGTTATAGCCCATTTTTAACGAATGTTCTCTAAACGGCTAGTGCTAAGTTATAGTATTTGTCAGTCTGTACTACACTCTGTAAACACTTTTTCTTTCTCTGGACCTATTTAATAAGTTCTTAGTTCCTGTCTTGACAATTTTGACATATCTCTTTTATTTTCATGCAGATTTTCATCTGTGCTCTGTTTCTGATCATTCCTAGCATACACGGTATTGTCTTTGCTTCAAATTCTTCTAGAGAGGCTCCTGACTTGGTCAATTCTGGATCATTCCTAGCATGCATGGAATTATTTCCGCTTCAGAATCATGTCGAGAGGCTCCTGACTTAGCCAACTCGTCTGCTTTTTCGTTACCGAAAATGTTACTGTACTCGCGAACTCAAATTATGTAAAAATTTAGTTGACTTACCAGTGAGCTTGAAGCCTACCTGCCTACCTGTTGACTAAGCTGCTCTTAATCTTTTTCGACGATAAAACTGGCAATGCCGCCTGGCTAACGGTGTCCATGGTAGGTTTAGATATCCTACCGTTGTTATTATTGGTTTTCAAAAAAGTCTTGAGGTATTTTCGCTAGTTGGCGCTGAGAGCGGGTAGTTCCAGTTTTAACGCTAACATGTATTTGATTGATTGTCGTTTCTTTTAAGTCGTTCGTGAGTTATAGCGTCGCAAACATGGAGCAAAATAAAGAGAAACTACGGCATATTTTATAGTACTACTACGATAAAGGCAAAAATGCATCTTAAGCCGCCAATAAAATTTGTGAAGTTTATGGACCCGATACAGTTTCCTTTTCCACCGCATAACGATGGTTTCAACGTTTTCGTTCTGGTGTAGAGGTGGTCGAAGATGCGCCACGCTCCGAAAGGCTGTCGTCGAAAATTGCGATAAAATCGCTGAATTGGTCGAAAGAGACCGGCATAGTAGCAGCCGTAGCATCGGTCAAGAGCTGGGCGTGAGTCATCAAAACAAATTTTATGGACAATTGAAAATTCAATAAAAATACTGAAAAAATACCGCAAGACTTTTTTGACAAACTAATATAAAGATACTTAGAACGTATGCCATGAAGAGAGTTATTGTAAAAACGCAATAATATTAATATAATAAGACCCGGGTTAGAGAATCGAACTACAAAATGTGGAGGTAGTCATGGCCTCGCAACATAGCCTATAAAATTTTAATAGACGTTTTAAGTTTTATAGTTTTCTTGCCCATTAAYTCCAAGTATTATTATTTATTTATATGTATATAAATATCAAATTGATTTCTAAGAGAAAACTATCCTCGTCATATAAATATACAGAATATACTCGTATGTCACTTATAAATTTCGAGGAAGAAAAATCACCGTAATAAACTAGTGCTTACCTTTTGTTTGCGCCGAGGACACATCCAACGGTTGTGCATGTAATTGCCGCGATTCGAGAAAACGTTGCTGATGCAAACATTCCAAGGATGATGACAACGACCCCAACGCTGACGAAGCAGACGTCGACAACGAGGACGATTGTGAGGACTGCGAGGCTGTTGATGGGAAGGAGAACGGCGAGAGGGACGCCGTCAACGCTGAGCTTGTAGCAACAGATGTTGGCGTCGAACGAAATGTATTCGTCGTTGAGGCGGGTGTGTTGGCGTTCGTGTTTGTGGCGGTAGTCGCGATGCAGCTGTTTTCGTCGTGCGTTGGCATTTTCAGTGGCATATTAGGAACCTGCAAAAATAGAAGAAGAATGCAAAGAAAATTAAATGAAAGTTATGCAAAGGGAAAATTAGTTATTATGTGTGAGTGGCAAGTGGATGTGGGCGCCTGGAGATATGCGAACTATGGAAATATATAATATGTACATACTTGATGAGCGGAGGTGGAAACATATATTGCAGACAAAAGGTAAATTAGCTTGCGCCAAAACGAAGAAAATATGATTTTGCGAAAACGTGAATAATAAAATAGAAATGAGTTGTGAGTGTGGCTGAAAGTGAAGCAGTGTGCAGGGACAATCAGTAAAGACATTGACGGGAACTGATTGAGGAGAGATTTTCAAACTACAAATGTATGTGTTTGCGTATATTGGCAGCAGCTTGATTGCCGGACTAATCACTTGCTTTTGACAGGAGCAAAGACGTCGACAAGTTAAACAAAAGATTTGCTAGACAATTGTGAGCTGGAAGAGGAGCGGAAGGGTAGTGCTTTTGATTAGTATGAAAGCTGTCCATATAATTAAGGCTTGTGAACAAGATACGGCGATATACGTTTACTTGTATTTAATGTGGGTCCATCTTATCAGTGACACAAAAAATATAGAAAGAGAGTGCATAATTGCTTTTCCTGGAACCCAAGTATCTTAAATTGAACAGCCTTAATCGTGATCTACAATCAGTTTACATTTTGTGTTTTGAAATAAGGGATGCAGAAGAAGTTCTAATTCCAGGAGGAGCTACCGATTAGCGTGGTATACATTATCTGGGACTTCATACCCAATTTTGATAATTCTAAGAGTATTAACACGGCTTCCTTTATATCTAGCCTTTGTTTTGGAATGTTGGACGGGTTGTACGGCGTTTCTTAAACTTGAAAGAAATGTGAGGGTATACTGGTCATACACAAATGCAACCCTGGACAGAGAATGTTTCAAGATATAAGAGCGACAAAAAAGAATGTTTCACGAAAAAATATATTATATATAAATGTAGCAGTAACACATATACTTTAAGACTATGATGCAGGCTTAAGATAGCATTGATTTGCGAGAAATTGGCAAGACTGCGAAAATGTGTCGATTTGAATCATAATATATGTTTAGAACCTATACCATTTATCTATTCGAGATTTCAATACAAGTTGTGTTAAGCCTTGTGATTACATCGTCATCAGTTAAGAGAAAGCTTTCCAGATTCCTTCTCAAAAGGTCTGAGGGATTTATGCTACTTAAATACTTGCTTATCCCTCAAAACCCTCTGAGCACATAATCACTAATTCTAAGATATAGCAGTGAAATTTAAAAAATTGAAACAGATCTTTATTTCGCATGATCACGAACGTCGAATAAACCATCATTTGCCACTAAGTTTATGCCAGCCAGCAGGAAACGTCGAAAATGCTATAAAATATATGGTATATACCAGGTGTTCCGGTATGAAATTAGCGTTTGTTTGTGAAAGTGAAATACTCATTTTGAATAAGAAAGCAAACAAAAACAAGTAAGGAAGCGCTAAGTTCGGGTGTCACCGAACATTTTATACTCTCGCATAAATACCGTATTTGTGTAAAGTTTTATTCAGAGAAGGTATCAGATGGAATTCAAAATAGCGTTATATTGGAAGAAAGCGTGGTTGTGAACCGATTTCACCCATATTTCGTACATATCATCAGGGTGTTAAGAAACTATTATGTACCTAATTTCATTGAAATCGGTGGAGTAGTTCCTGAGATATGGTTTTTGGTCCATAAGCGGGCGACGCCACGCCCATTTTCAATTTTTATAGAAAGCCTGGGTGCAGCTTCTTTCTGATATTTCTTCCGTAAAATTTAGTGTTTCTGGCGTTCATTGTTAGTCGCTTAACGCAGTTTTAGTGATTTTCAACATAACCTTTGTAAGGGAGGTGGGCGTGGTTATTATCCGATTTCTTCCATTTTTGAACTGCATATGGAAATGACTGAATGAAACAACTCTGTAGAGTTTGGTTGACATAGCTAGAGCAGTTTCTGGGATATGTACAAAAAACTTAGTATGGGGCGGAGCCACGCCCACTTTTCCAAAAAAATTACGTCCAAAAATGTCATTCCCTAATGCCATCCTTTGTGCCAAATTTCACTTTAATATCTTTATTTATGGCGTAGTCATTACACTTTATAGTTTTCGGTTTTCGCCATTTTGTGGGCGTGGCAGTGGGCCGGTTTCGCCCATCTTCGAACTTAACCTTCTTATGGAGCCAGGAAATACGTGTACCAAGATTCATCATGAYATCTCAATTTTTACTCAAGTTAYAGCTTGCACGGAYGGACGGACAGAYGGACRGACGGACAGACAGACATCCGGATTTCAACTCTACTCGTCACCCTRATCACTTTGGTATATATAACCCTATATCTGACTCTTTTAGTTTTAGGACTTACAAACAACCGTTATGTGAACAAAACTATAATACTCTCTTTAGCAACTTTGTTGCGAGAGTATGAAAATACTGAAAGTATTGACCATAGCTTTTTACACGTCCTTATTACCTTTCTGACAATTTGTGGATAACAAGCACATAGAAATATTCGTTTTTTTTGAAGCAAATCAGTCAAAGAATAATTTTTCGATTTCTGCTAAGGAATTGAAGTGCTGTTCAGCCAATGACGGACTCACCGATGAAAATAAATGGTACATGAATGGGGTCAAGTCTGGTGAATCCGCTAAGTGGAATAGCAGCTCCTAGCCAGTGCATTGCCGTGTAACAAAATTACTTTGCCGTGTCTTTTGACCCATTCTGGTCCTTTTTCGATCAATACATGGTTCAAATTGATCATTTATTATCTGTAGCGTTTAGTATTTACAGCTTCAACCGGTTTTAGAGGGTCATGATATTCTACACTCTTCTGAATCCACTTAACACAAATCATTGACTTATTACCGAATCGATCTGTTTCTGCAATCAATATTGATGGTTACCCCAGATGAACTTATGATTTTATTCGTTTAGAATTCTTAAAATAGTTCCATTTTTCAACGCCAGTGACAATTCGGTGCTAAATTGATTTTCCTTCATGTCCTAGAAGCAAAATTTCACAAGTGTTGCTTCGGTTTGCTGTTTTCCCTTCATTCAATTCATCTGGCACCCAATTTTGCCATAGCTTTTAAACGGCTTGAAATTGTTAGTTGTGTAACAATTAACATAGCTGCCATTTGCCTTTGACTCAAAGCATCATATTCATCCAAGATTACATGCAGTTTTTCGTCTTCAAACTGTTTTGCTGGTCTTCCACGTTCTTCATTTCTCACAATCTCAAAATCGTTATCTCTGAACCGTTGAACCATCTTTTGCTCTTTTGCATGTTGCTTCTGATAGAGCATGATCCCCATATGTCTAGAAAAAGCTTTCGATGCGACTCTGCAGCACTTTTCTTCAAGTGGTAACGAAAAAGTAATGCTTTCGTCAAATCATCATTTTTCGGTACAAAATTTGTAATTTAAAAAAAAAAAAAAAAAAAAAAAATTTGATGAAACACAACAAAATTAAGCTCCGCTTACAACAAATGTTCCCTAACAACACATTTGTATCTTCGCTCTCATTTCATGCTGGGTTGCTTTAGCTATGTCCATCTGTATAACGCGAGCTAGTCCCTAACTTTGTAATATATCAACCTAAAATTTCACATACGCTCTTTTCTCTCGATAAAGTAAGTCATCCATTGAAACCCACCGACCAAACTGGTCAATCAAAATCAAGTTCTTCAAGGGGAAACAACCGAAATTAATGTTTTTTCTTGTTCTAAGCGGTGGATGGAGCCATGTGTACAAGTTCACGCAAATGAGGAAAATTCTCTGAGCGCCATTAACTTGGGAGTGGTCAGAAACGATTTTTTACATATGGCTCAAGCGGTTCACCACTTTCGGTCTTAAACCAAGTATCGTCTGGGTAGCCATAATACATCCGCATGAAGACGAGCTAAAAAGAGAAGGCGTATCATACCTCCCCTGGGTTGTGCGCTGGGTTTTTGATCCGTCACGTAAAAAACGCTCCCAAAGTAAAGGAAATGACAGCCTTGAATGATAACCGAGTAAGCGTAGAAAACGAATGGAAATTAACAGAGAAATATGAATTTCCAATGGTTTTGGTATATTCACAAGGACTACATAAGATTTGCTTTCTTTTGGTCACTGAAAGTCTCAGGCAAACAATTCTATTAAGTTGAGCTCAATATAAATGATACCTCATTAAACTGATTATATCATTTGTTTCTTGGATTCACCATTTTCCATAGTCAAGTAATATATAAATAAGTGGATGAGAGTCTAGAAATTTTTTCTTAACATTTTTCTTTAATTAAGCAAAATGACTTCTTCATTTGAAGTGTGCTTTCTTTGTTTGCTCTTTACCTTATTAATTTTTAATAGACTTTACACTTCAACTTCGTATGCTCTAATTACTTTATATTTTTTCTTGTTGCTTTTCGCGTTCATAGAAATCAATGTGATTTTTCAAAGATTCTCTGCGCGCTCTTCAATGCTAATGAGCTTTTCCTCTGCGTTTATTCAACTTTGGCACAGAGCAAAGACAAAGCCACCTCTCACTCACACACTCAGTAAGTGAAAAGCAGTTATAAAACTTCAGATATATATGCATGTGTAAGTATATATGCGTAGGTACATATATATATACAAAATTCCATTGCAGATTTCCATAAATCACCGTTCAACGCAAAAGGCACCAAATTGAAATCGCAGAAAAAGATGAAAAAATAAATAAATGATTTCAGTGCGCGTACAAATTCGGTTTGGAAAGAAATGCGAAAGCAAATTGCAGTTACGCGCTGAATTCGATTTGGCTTCATTCGTTTGCCTCCTCTTCCGACAGTTGGCCTGTCGGTGTGCCTTGAAGTGAGCACAAGTCAGCTTGCTTGCAGTTAAATTACATTTCCACTCCCACAGCAAACACCTATTTTTCCGTTTTTATAAACTTTTGCCGAAGCTGGTGCCACCCGCGAGGATTACAATGAAGCAACAACAA